ATTTTAACGTTTAGTATAAATTTCTCAGAGATGAGATATTTTCCCGCGGTAAAAAGTATCCTATATGTTGACTCGGATAACCAGCTATCATTATACCAAATTTCATGAAAATCTGCCCAGTGGTTTTCTCAGATGTAATGCGTTCCCAGACAAACGTACAAATTCTAAAAATTATACTTTCGGCCTCTGTATCGATAATGATGACTATTTCAATAAGATTTTCCAAAAAATATTTAATGTACAGATTCGGCTCGTTTGAATTTTATTATATGTATAGATTTCCAGTATAAAAATAAATCTTAGCTTTGTTTTTATTTTATTTTAAATTGTATATTTGACTTCTATAGGTATAATATGTTACATGTACATACAAAATATTTTTTTTAATATATTTAATGTACCTAACTACTACATGAAAAGTATTTCCCTTGACCCTTTAATAAGGAACTTGTTGTACGAAAAATTTATATACAAATATAAAATTTATTATTAAAATCAACAAACCAAAAGCAGATGCTATATTTTATTAAGTAACTTTTACCCGTCACACTTTATTTGGTCGTTTACTTAACACTTGTATTAAAGAGAACATCTCAAGACTCTCATATGCTTTATATCATATACATATGTAATGTATCTGCAATTTTGTCATCATTTCTCGCATATTCGACCTCGTTTTGAGCATCTCGATTATTGACATGTTTTATGAAGTGTTATTATGGTTATGAAGGAATAATATAAAGTAACTTTTCTTGAAATTGTAAGTGTTTTTTTTAACCATATGCAATTTTAAAGTAAGAAGTGTTATGCAGTAATACTTATTACTGTTCGAAGCAATAATATATGACATGTTATGTTTATTGTATTCAGCCCTTTTTAACGTCCCATCGCTGGGCACGGGCCTCCCTTCAATACGTGGTGGATCAGGCCATAGTCCACCACGCTGGCCAAGTGCTGGTTGGCGGACTTCTCATGTCTTTCGAAAACTTCCTAGGTTCTCTCAAATATGCAGGTTTCCTCACCATGTTTTCCTTCACCGTAAGGCAAGTGGTAATCATTTTAGAAATGATTCGCACATATAAATATGAGAGGTGCGAGACCCGGGATTTGAACCCGTTTCATTTGGTTTCCTAAGCAAGCGCGTTACCGCTGGTATGTTTATTAAATAATAGATATTTTCTTACATTAAATTCGTAATATAGTTAATAACTAACTATTACAATATATCTATATAAAGTGATTACATAGGTGCAGGTTATCTTTTACAAACGTAGGCATGTATTCCAACCCCTGTACAACTACCGCGCTGGCTGCGAGCCACCCCTTGCAAACGCGATTAATGTTTTTTTTCCCTTTTAATAAAGTCTGCATTCTCGAGTGCCTCCGACGACGAGGTTTTAAAATTCATCTCTACTCATATTTACGTTTTGAAATTAATGTTTTACCGTAGTTTATGTCTCAGGATGTTGACCTCGCTTTGAGTTGATGTTATGACTTTTAATTGGTGACTTTTATATTCTTAGTTTGTTTGCGGAATCTGTAGACTGTAGAGTATTAGCATATTAGAATTATTTTTACTTTATTATGCTAAAACCGTGATATGTACCTACTGGTTACTTACGGGCTTATTCTCGCTTCGCTCGTGTGCGTAAGTTTTGTATTTATAAATATAATATTATAAATACATACATATTATATAAGTAGCATCATAACTTAATTAGCATTTTTTTATTAGTGCCATATATGTTACTCCAGGTCATAGTCTATCTGTGTGCTAAATTTCATCCAAATCGGTCCAGCTGTTTCAGCAAGAAGGAGTAACAAACGTACACACATATAAACTTTTGTATTTATGATAGTAGTGTGGTGGTACACAATACACACTACATATAAAATGACGATTTGACAATTTTTAACTTTTAATGACGTGTAACAATACTCTTATGTATATTGTATTTATGAGGCCGTGGTATATATTTGTATGGTCAATACATTATTTTTGTGCAAGGATGGAACCTGTGACCCTCCATACAAATTGTAATTGACACGAGTCGTCATGCCGCAATACTCACCTTGTCTGCTGGGTTGATTAATGTCACAGTCAGTAATATCATATGCTCATTTAATTGGACTGCTATTATAGTTGCGCAAAATTTGTATGCACGTTTATTTACTTTTCACGTTGAAACGGCTGGACCGATTTGGATAAAATTTAGTACACAGATAGGTACCTGACCTGACCTACAGTAACAAATGCAAAAGCTTGTCACGAGTAATTTAAAATTAAATAGTGTTTTTATTTATCTATATCATATATAAAATTCAGGTTACTTATAAAATCTCGACCTACTTATCCCCAGCATGTGAATTTCAGCACCCAACAAAATCGATTCGGGTTAATACATTTCATATGTTATCGATATATTTTTCCTTGAGTGGTCAAAATGGAATTTATTGATAGGTATATTATTTTGTTTCTTATTTTGCCACAAGTTTTGGGAAAAGAAAAGTACTGAAGCCATTACCATGTAATACTTACTGTACTTTGATTCTCAGTTCATGTAGAAATATTACCCACAAATCAATTACCAAACAACCACGAGACAAAATTAATTTATGAAATTATTAAAATTACTAGACTGTAATATTTATGTATCTACATAAAAAACTCAACTATATACCATTAATAATCCATAGCACAAAGGTACGAGTAATAAATATAATATTTAAGCTTAATTCCATAGACACTTAAGAAATATTTATTTTAGTTTTATAACCTTAAGACTGGGAGGGTGTAGGGAAAGTCTTAAACGAATGATTCTATGTTCTTTTTATAATTAATTTCTATCGGTACATGTATATGTATGTATATATATATATATATATATATATATATATATATGTATGTATAATACGGTTGTGAAACTTGACGCCCATGTCACTTACCGTTTATCCTGCGCGGAAGTGCTGGGCGTCCTCCGCCCGCGCACGTCCTGACCGTCGTTGGTATGTGCCAATTGTTCTACAAATGTTGCCACATCTTGGCATACTGTTGAGGATATATTTTAAACTAGTCCTTACCCGCGTTTGCGTGTGTGTGTTTTTTTTTGCTTTCTTTCATCGCTTTAGCTTTGCGTTATAATTGTAACAATTTTGATATTCAGTAACTCGGTATAAAAGTATCATGTATTTAGTCCAGGACATAGAGCATTTACATGTGTAAAAAGTTTCATCTAATTCTGTTTAATTGATTCGGATAGCAAATACTATATTTTAATTTCAAAGTTAAGATAGAAGCGATAAAAATTAATCATGGAACTTAAATTATAAGCTTGAAAATACCAATACGACTAGGCAAGTTAGCGAGATTTCATGATCGTAACATAAGAATTAATAACCCAAGTTTCTCTCGTGACTTTGTTTCCTGTGAACCATTTAAAACGTCGGAAACAAAAAAAAGTTTGTAATTATATTTTCTTCGTCTATTATATATCAATTACTTTTTAATTTTGTATGCGCTGTTAAACCCTGTTTATTGCACGTCGTAGCCGGAAGTGTAAATACATGCATCCTCACTTCCGTCCTGATTGACCAACGCGTGCCAATTGTTCCTTTCATTGCCGAATATTGGCAATGCATTGAGGATGGATCGAGCATTTTATTTATTTATTTATTAATTTTTGGGAAACAAACAGTGACATAATTCTTAAAAATAATTAAAAAAAAAAAATTATATTTATAGTGCATTTCATAACCACTGAAGTGAATCTGGTGGACTTGTTGTTTTGTTTGTGGTTTTGTTTAATTTAGTATTTAGTCAATAATCAGCTTCTCTAGATTTAGCTCTGTTCGAATTATATAAACCAAATGTAGTCATTTTAATTATTACAATAAAAACCGTGACAGTCAAATCCATCCAAATAATTTATAAAACATGTTGCTCTGAATACGATAATCTAAATACTCCTGGGAAAACACACGTTTTTCAAATAAAATTTCTTATCCAACATGTTATAATGAATTTTAGTACTTTGCTTGATGATTTTCCACAAGCGGTAATTGAAGATGCGCTCTCCAGCTACGTTGGAAGTACACTCCCATTGCGAGTTGTCGTGGTCAGGACACGGTCACATGCCCTTTGTGTAATAATAACCATGAATATTTTATCGATTATTATTGATTGGGTTGTAAAATTTGTCGATTTGTTTACCTTCCTCTTATTGTTTATTAGCTTTTGGAATGAATGTAAATGCAGTGTTGAAGGACTTGGCGGAGTCACTAGTCTCTACCTTATGCGTTTTTGATATGAAATATTTTTTACTTTTGATGTTTGTTTTTTTTGTTTTTTTTTTATTTATTTTTATTTTGCTCAAAACAAGACTTTATAACTAATCTTACTATACAAAAATGGAACTCGTGACTCGATTTATCAAACAGATCCGCTTCTATTATTATTTCAAATACTAAAGCGATGGAAGTGCTAATTGAACTTATTTCGCCTCCTTAGATATTTTTAGATATAAAGTATTATTAGACGTGAGTACTAACAAGGCGACAATGCGTGTTTTAAAATAGCTTCTTTATCATGTTGCGTGTATGCTCGTAGCGTACGCTTAGCCTATTCACCGATTAATTCTGCCCACACTAAATACAATCTTTGTGTCATATTATTAAGTATCAATTTACTACGATTAATTAAGCTCCAACCAAAGTACAAAGCTGCCAAGAGTGTCAGAATTGAAAAATCCAAAAATTTCAGATCGCAAAAATAAAAGTTGGTGCCAAAAGTCATACAACTGTTTGTATAATGAGAAACATGACTAGGACAAGTGCGGAAGTTGTGATATAAGTGCGTTATTGTGATGTGGATTTTAAAAATATTATACAGCATAGTGTTGAGAAAAGGATCGTTTATAACGATTGATAAATGAACACACCAGTGTGATCAACGTATCAACGGTGTCAACCGTTGCGTTTCGGTTCAGAGGACAGTTGAACCTATGGTCGGTATGATGTGGTTTAAACGGGACCCCAAGGTCCCAGAGAAGGTGGATAAGGTTGACAACGGGGTTGTCAACAAGCTCAGAAGGAAGAAACCCACGTTGCTCAAGCCGACGCGAGAGTCTAGTGAGCGGGAGACGTCAGCTGACAGTGACAAAGAGAAACGGAGATACTCTGATATATTAGATATGAAAGTATCACTCGGTATGTATGTTCATATAGAATATGTAACTTTGTTGGATTGTTAAGTATTTCCTTGCCATTATATTCATATATTAGTTACCCTTTATAAGCTAGAATTTACATAAACAAACACACAGGTGTTCCATTGTATGAAATATGTTAAAAGATAATAATACATATTAATAGAGGGTTTCAGTTGTTTGTAATATTTAAATGTAGATTTAGTTTGAAACACATATCGCTAACTTCGTTAAGAACCTAGGCTAAATGTTATTAGAACTGTTTTAAGTCTTCTTTAAGGAGGAGATCTTTCTAATTATTATTTTTGTTGGTTTCTTCATGATTTATTAAAAAAAATTCCGAGTTCTGACGAGGGTTATCACGTTATGTAAATAGTGCTCGTATTTGAAACAATTTACTGCGAATGTCAGCGGGTCAGATGGCGAGGTCGGGTGTGTCTATTTTTAGGTGTTACAATGCTTGATATTGTTTTCCTTACTGTATCCTCGCATTTATAATAAATTTAAATTGAGCTTAAATTGAATAAAGGTAAATAAAAAGAGTTATAGTCCCGCTGAGTTTCTTATACCGTTTTTTCTCAGACAGGTCGTATTTCTTTCGATCTGGTGGTTTGGTTTTGGCATAGTTGTTGCCATTTCTGCACAGAATAACTCACTTTTGCAAACTTATATTTTAGTTTTTTTTTTAAATAAACAAAATTAGCTACGTTATACATTATTTCGCATTTTAAAAAAGCTAGAGTATGTAGTTTTGAATCTTGTAGCAAGCTATATAATAAAAACAAAGTGGTATAATATGTGCGATCATATCCTTAGTTCATCGCTATGACTAGACGAAAAAACATCCTATATAAGAATTTCAAATAACTTTTGTATGTTAATTTATTATTATTCAAAATGTCTAAGTCTCAGCATATTTTAAGGAAAATTTCACTTTTTGAAGTGAGGATAGAATTTTAAAAAATTATGAGATAATCTTCGAAAGTCTAAACTCTAATGCTTTCGTTGGTACAAGTTACTGGTTAATGGTTCATTAAAGAAATATTTAAAAGCTTACATTAAGTAATAAAAGCTTATCATATGTTTACAGTACTTACGATCCGGGCTTAGGAGATAAGCATATACATACATAATACATATGTATGTATCTATATAGATGCAGTAGCATGCCCGATACCGTGTGTCTATACTAGAATCCTCAAGATGTTGAAATACAATTAGTATTATTTGTAGGTAAAATACATATAATAAAGGTGTTACTGATCGCTGTCTGTAAATGGAAGGTATTTGAGAAATACTATCATCGGAGGTCTTTATTTACGCAATAGAACAAAACAATGATTTTTAGAATTTTTGTCTGTGTGTCGGTTTGTTTGTGCGTTTGTACGCGCTGATCTCAGAAACGGCTTAACCGATTTGGATGAGGTTTTCACTAATATATTGTGGTAAGCTTCCTTAACATTTAGTATTTGTTTTATTTCAATCGGTTCATAAATGAAGTTACGTCAATTTTAAGAATACATTATTCGTATTTTTGTCGAAATTTCTTTGTGATACATGACATATTCTTCTTTTTATCATTACTGCGTGAGCTTAGCTTTTTTACATAAATATGCTTAAAAATAAATTCAATTATTAAAATTGCTTTAACAAAAAAGTAATTTTACTATACGAGTATGTACACATTGTTACATTAAGGATCATATACATTTATGTTCTTTTAAAGTTGGGCAATATAGTGTATTACTCTCGTAGTTTACAACCGGTAGTACTATTGTGTTAAATGATATTGCGTGCCGTAAGAATGTATATTGGCTCCATTAACCTAATTTGTCGATGGCCCCTCGGACAGGTACCTACAGGCTATTGGAATAAAAATTATTCCTTGATATTTGATTCTGTATTTTTTAACATAGGATATAAAAACCTGTGATTAATCTCATAATTATGAAATAGATAGAATATATACACATAGATATGATGAGTCTTATAATCCTCACTTGAGAAATGATTGCTTGATGATACAAACTTCCACAACCCCTTTTCATCCCCTTAAGGGATGGATGACTTCCGGGATAAAAACTATCCTATGTGCTTCCCAGGGTCTCAAACTATTTCCATACCAAATTCATCGAAATCGGTTCAGCGGATTAAGCGTGAAATGGTGACAGACAGACAGTTACTTTCGCATTTATAATGTTAGTATGGATTAAGAAATAATTAATATTTTTATTTAACAATTATTGAGCTGTGAAATATGTATATGCATTAATTTGTCATTATCAGTATTTTTTTTTGCTTCTACATACGATAAGAAAATAATTTAAGTTCCATGAATATTTTTGGAATATTTTAACTTTGAACTTTATTTTTGTCTTTATATGAGAATCAGTAGTAACAAATAAATTATTAGTTCAATAAAGGTAATCGTTGGTTCGATTACTGAAGGCTTTGTTTTTGTCATTATATAAAATTAATATCTTATTCAACGAGTTCATTGCAAGAACACTAAGATATTTTCTAGGCAATAAAATTAGTACTACGTAAAAACCTATGTTATTTAAAATCATATCTCAAGATTTGCATTCGGTATCTTTTTTAATAACACTTTGTAATATTCATATTATCTCCTTTTTTTTAATTACATTGTGAATGATGTAATAAAATTTAGGTAATATTTGAACTCGCGGAATGGAGATTTAAGTGAAAATACTTTCGCGTTACGGTTTTTTTCCGAAACAATCATTATTTACATAACTTTACATTCCCGTCGCTAATCTGTTCTTTTGTTTCATAGAAAGTTAGTTACACCGTCACCCAAAGTTTTTGTTATCCACTGTTATACTTTATTGTATGGAAATTACTATATTATAATATATAGGTATATGGTTTAACATTTAACGATTTTTTTAATAGATATTGTTAAACAAGTGTTTTGTTCTAATTACCTGAAGCAAAATTTTGTTAAGATATTCGCAGTAAATTGTCGCAGTATATGCCTCTGTTATGTATAATTAATTATACCTGATATCGTCAGCACTATTAATATTTTCTATACGTAATCTTAGATTGAATACCTCTCACTTTTTGTCCCCTCTACGATTGTGTTGTTTTTTCTAATGTTATTAAATGTCATAATTATTGACATTCCAAGTCTATCAATTCATTTTCATATTAAAGAAATATTGAGTTAATTATAATAATAAGGTCTATTAAATCCAATCATTGTGGAAATACAAGCTTTGAATATTACACAATCAACGATATGTGTCTGAAACATATAAATGTAAGTATTATTATAAAATATGATATGGCAAGGAAATCTTAACTCACATGATACGTAGTTATACAATGTAAATTAATCCGTAGAGCGGCGTGATGAAAGCGACGAATCTTTATACGAGTCGGCGGACTGTCACAGCGATGCGATATCAGCCAGCGATGACGCCTTGCCGAGGCTAAGTAAGACTCCCACTATAAGCAAAGAATCTCTAAAATTGGCAATAACAGATGAGGAAGGTGAGGCCAGGACGAAGAAAGGTCACAGGAAAACTATGTCGTTATCGAATCCCATAGAAATTGTCAAAAGTTTGGGTGATGAGTGGTTCGACCACACAAAAAAAGATGTGGAGAAAAATTGTGATAAAAAGAAATCTAGAGAGAGTCTCTGGAGCGAAGAAGATAGAGATTCTATTCACGGCTCCAGTATGAAACTAGATCAAATCAGAAAAAATAGTAAAAAAGAAGATAAAGCAAACGAGAGCAGAAAGAGCAGTACCGCTGACGCGCCGAAACGGAAGAGTAGTAAAGGGTCTTCTGTAAGTGCTCTTAACTTTTTAAGAAGAAAGAAAACGCCAACTTCTATGAAAGCGGTTGAAGCCGTAGTCGAAGTTGTAGACGGCATTGTAAATACTGACGAAATATTAAACTATACTAAATTCTTCTTAGAAGAAGAGAAGAGGCATGCATCGTTATGTCAGAGCAAACCTCCGGTAGAGACCGACTCCGATGAAGACATGCCACCGCCTAAAGTAATAGGGGAACACAGACGAAGATTGAGTCGGCAAACCTCTAGAAGTAAAAGTAAAGTCAGAGGTAAAAGTCAAAGCGTTAAAGTAAATACGTTGAGGAAATCTCACAGTGGTACATTGAAAAAGGGTAAGAAGAAGAGTGTGAAGACACCAGTAGTGGGCAGGAGTCGCCAGACCAGCATCGTTGAACCGAGTCCGCTGGTCAAAAAGAAGAATTCTGATTCACCCAAGCAGAATTCGTGGCTCTTCAGCGGCACTAGAGGTGAGTTTTTATTTGAAAATCAATTCGTCTCAATTAATTTGCGACTTTAAATCTTATTTATGGTAATGATATACAAATAATCGAGCGTATGTATACATAATATGTATATTTCAGCGCGTCCAGTAAGATCGATGGTGCGCATAAATCGTTATAAATGTCATTTTGATAAGTGTATTTCGTTGTGTTGATTTTTTTTATTTAATCTACATTAAACATGAAAAATGTTTTCATAAACTGTTTTTTTTTTATAAAAAATTATAGTATGAAGGTAAATTATAATAAACTTCAAGTTCAATACAACATGGTCAAAGTATTGCCATTATTTTTATAGATCTTTCATATTTAAACACAACATTAATTTAATACTTTCTTAGATTTCTTAGATTTCTTAGATCGCTTGACTACAACATGGGGTTATTCAAGGGGCGGACCAATAAAGTCCTGAAAAGCCGGCAACGCATTAGTGGTGCCTCTGGTGCTACAAATGTTCATGGGCGGCGGTAATCTTTTAACATCAGGAGACCCGCCTGCTCGTTTGCTCGCTTATATTATAAAAAAAAAAAAGATTTACGCGAATATTTGGCATTTTAAGTAAAACTATCTTTTCGGATTATTTCGCGGATTTATTTTGATTATTGGTTCCCGACGTTTCGATTGCTTTACAGCAATCATGGTCACGGGAAAGAGTAATTGTCTCTTTCGAGGATCATGACCGTCATCAGATTCTTCGGTGCTATAGCTATAGACTATAGTAGTTTAAAAGTCGGACTGCCATTATAAATTTGAAAGTTTTCATGTCTGTACGTATGTTTGTTACTCCTTAACGCTGAAACGGCTGGTCGGATTCTGATAAAACTCAGTGGGTGCACCACCAAAGACTACGACCGGGAGTAACACATAAGTTTCTGTTACCTACAAAGAAAAATAAGTCGCTAATGTATGGAATCATTCTAAATAACTTGTTATACTGAAAGTTTTTACTAAGTTCAGCTCATGGACTTCCTGTACGTTCCACACAAAAGCTATTAATCGGTACTGTGATGCGATGTCGTCGCATTTATCAAACGCTGACCTCAGCGGTGCCGCTCGCCTTGCGTCTCAGGGTTGGCGGGTCAGGCGGGCTTAGGGCTTAATGGATATTATTTGTACGCGATGTGGACATGTTACATGTAATTTGGATAGGTCGGTAGAGTATTAATGTTTAATAATAAATCATGTTTCACTGACCTTGGTGTTTTTATAATATGTGAACACGCCTTAGCCTTGCTTCGCTCGGGTGCGTCCTTAAGTGCTTAACTGTAGCCTACATATGTGTTACTAGGTTTCGGTCATAGTCTATCTGTAGATGTATCGGTGGTAGCTTCCTCACGGACTGACTACACTGATATTTAATTTTTGTAAATGTAAAATTGACGATCCAAAAATGCTTGTAAAATTATATTTGAATAAAGTATATTTTGATTTGATTTGTGTACAAAATTTCATCCAAATCTGACCAGCCGTTTCAGCGTGATAGAGGAACAAATATACACACACACTAACTTTCGAATGTACAATAGTAGTCCAATATTTTAATGGGTTGGAATTTCCAATTTTACTTAATTACATATAGGAAACAATTAAAAATTTAATAAAATACAAATGAAGTGACTTTTATATTTTTTTATTGTATGTATGTATTCAGCCCTTTTTAACGTCACATTGCTACGAACGGGCCTCCCTTCAATACGAGAGGGATTAGGCCATGATTCGCACATGAAAATGTCAGAGGTGCGAGACCCGGGATTTGAACCCACTTTACTCGGTTTCCCAAGCGAGTGCGCTACCACTTGGCTACCACCACCTATTTACTTTTTTATTATTATATTTTATTATTTTTTTAACTTTACATCTCAAGTTATATTTTGAAATAAGTATTTATACTGCTTGCTTCCACAATCTATGGGTTGTATGGAGACTGATACATGAATTCGTGATATAGGAGCGGTCAATCAAACGTATCGTTTTAAATGCTTAATTAATATGCCTATATAACCTTAGACCGTTCGTCAAGCTACATTCGTCCGTCACGAACGTAACATTCTATTCATAACGCACGCTATATTGGTCACGCCTTGTGTTATTAGCTCTTGATTTATATATTGCTGATTTATTTCTCATGTTCCATCCATTTGTCACAGAGTCTGTTTTAGATACAGATTGCTAATTGCAAAAAAATCTCGATTTTTTTACAATTTCTGATAAAATGTGTAGTCTTCGTTATTTATTTTGTTTTCTTTGTTATTGAGTCATTACGTGTCGTGTTTATGTTAGCCTCATACAGGCATCGATTCGGCGACCTCCAGCGTAATAGACGTTGCTACTCATGTGCCACATTGCTCATAAATCTTTTTAGGCATAAAACATTTTATTTTCGTTGTATAATTTAATATTTCTATGTAATGAAGTGTCGATAAAAATCAATCAAGTTTAGTCGTTTCCACTACAAATAATATCATGATAGAACAGATAAATATATTAATAATAATTAATAAACTTTATCGTATTTATATACCTATATAAAAAGCAAAATACTACTCACTGATCGATCATGAAATTTCAAAAAATACAAATGCTAACAAACTTGAAATTTGGCAGGTAGATTCTTCGAAGGACTATATATACCCTAAGAAAGAATCTTAGGAAATGAATCCCTTATGGGCGTAAAAAGAGGTGGGTAGGTATAAAATTCAAAGTTTCAGGCAGTATATCCTGTGGGGATGAAAAATAAGGGATGATGTGAAACTTAGGAGCGGAGCAATTATACATAAAATACTTCCCCATAAACGAAGCCGCGAGGAAATGCTAGTATGTTAATAAATAACAGTAGCGTAGAAGCTAAGTCATTCATTCTAAAATAGCAATGTAACAGGCAGTTTTATGTGTTTATATACACGTTACGTTTGTTTTCGTTTTTTTACATTTTATTTATTGTCTGTCAACCCTATTAGTCATTTCCATCAGTCACATTTATGCTCACACAATATGCGGTCGCACGCAGGAACCTTTCGCGCCGTACACGCTCTTTAAAAAGCTCAGTTTCAGTGGACTGAGGGTTTGAATGTAATTTATTGCCTTATACTTGTATGTTTTTGTATGGAAAAATTATAATAAAGCCGCACTTCCTGTTTCCCTATAAAGTAAAAACCTTTGTTACATATACGATCATGCTGCATTCGTTATGCACGCTTTTGGGGTTTTGTTTTTGGTGAAAAAGAGAGATGAGGGGAGTCTATTCTCACTGTGGCACTCTACTTTCTCTGGCATAAGTACATGTAATAATACACATAAAACTATTTAAATTTTTAAATAATTGTCTAACATTCTTATTAGGATTCAAGGTTTTTAAATATATAAATTAATTACTAATATTATTGAAGCTTAAAAAGTGGCTTGACAAGATACATATTGATCTGTCAGAGTCGACTCTAATTTGAGGTCGACTCACTAGTTTTCTAATACAAAGTACTCGTATATATAATTCTAGATTTCAATCGTGATGGATCGTTTAAGCGATCATTTGATTTAATTTCATCGCTGATTCGCAGTTGACATGTAACGGAACTGTTTTTGCTACTGACCGGTTCACTTAGCTTGAGAGACTTGCAACTGTTGGTTTTCGTCTAATTATGACCGATTTTAAAAAGGAGGGACACATTTGAGTGTATGTTTTTTTGTTTGTTACACGATATCTTCGCAAATTGTGAATCGATTTTGATCATTTTTTTCTTTAGTGAGCTTTATTTAAGTGCGACAGTCGAATTTTCAATATTCATTTCAATACGTATTACTAAGTAATGCATCCACTGACTCAGTGTACTATAAATATATTTATTACATAATTACAAAATAGCACGGCAACCCTGTATGCAGTCGTTAAGCAAAATCGTTACACGACCGTATCGTTGGAGCGGTATTAAAACGGCGTTTGCAATTAAAACATCTAAAATCTAAACTCTTTGACCGTGAAATCTTACATATGGGCGATGAAAAATAAATAAAACCGTCTGCTACGGCGATAAAAACCCAAAGCGAGCTTTAGCCGGTCTCCTTATTTATTGCTGCTAATATTGTTGCGGATTGCTAATTATTTATTTGATTTAACTTCTTAGTCACGAATAAGCATGTAGTGTCTCACTTTTTACACGGTAGATTGTAAGTTTTTTTTTATATTTTCTCTTTAACAGCTATTTTTGACCGACTTTAAAAAGGGAGAGGTACTTTAGTGGTATGAAGAATACATATTGACCTATTAATGAGTCTCACCGTATATTTTTTTCATGATTTTAACGTATTATAGTAGCTTTTTTCATGTAAGAATTTTATACAGGAAATTCAAAGCTAGAGACATGGGTGGCCGACGATATAACATACCTCTAATTAATTGCACATCGCAAGACACGACAAGGATCAAACAACTCGACAGTAAAATTTCAACTAGTGATCAATTATGTATTCATTGATGCAACAGTTTCTCCATTCATTCATATTCTGCCCATGACCTGCGCGTGCGCATATCTCAACTATGGTACGCTATGCACAGTTATTTAGAACTTTACTTCATTTATAATAGAGTTAAAAATAGTTATTTTTGACATTCTATACTGTTTTGTTAGTCTTAACACTAAGGTAAAGTTATGTATGTGTTATCTATTTTTGTTTAGTGTTTTGAAAGTTTATATCTAAACCAAAATACACTCTGTTTACTTTTATTAAATGCATTTATATATGTACCTATAATATTATGTTATCGTTAATGTCCCTAATACCGTTATTTTATAGAACGAACTTTGACAAAATATGCTAACACTTTCACAGTACCTAATAACACCAAATATTACAACATATGAATTACTAGCATTGCCCGCGGCTCCGCCCGCGTTCAGATGACCAAAAACCAAATTCTTAGGTTTTACATATTAGTATATTCTTACAATACAGGTTTTGTATTTTTTCTCAGA